GAACATGCAAAACGGATAAGAATTGAAAGAGTTATGGTTGTTCGAAGTTGCCGGAAAATCATCACATCCATGGCTGCGGGTTACTATTCATCATGCAGAAAAATTGGAGTTGGAGAAGAAACGTAGGGACCGTCGGATCAGAATGGAAGTGTGGACTAAGTCCAGCGATCGGAGTGATGAGATCGCGCCACCTCATCCTGGCATGAAACGGCGCCGTTTTGGGAGCTAAGGGGGACCGCGCGTGCACCTGTTCGAATCTGGCCGTGGCAATTTCCTTTTGTTTCCATTTATTCACCTTATTTCATTTTCTTTATTTTCTTTTATTTTTTCTGTTTGCATGGCTGTTTGGATTAATTGCTTTAAAAATAGTAAAATTGATCAAAAAGTTACGAAATTTTTTGTCATGATTCCTGAACGTCTTAGGAAATTTTAGGCGTTGATTTTACATTTTTAGGATTTAATTTGAATTAGTTACGATTTTTCTTTTGTGCTCATGTCCATTGTTTTGCATATTTGACCATCTGTTTTATAGAATTTTTTTCTTCCAATTGGTGATAAATTTGGCTTTGATTTTTTAGTATGTTTTAAGGTAGATATTCATGTTCCCTTAGGATTTTTGTTAGAATTTTAGAACAAATTTAGGTTTTGTTTTAGGTGTTGAGATTAGAGCCTTCCCAAACTTGTGGATCACCTTGATACCTTTCAATCTAGAAATTATTTAGGTGACTTAGAAGTTGAATTAGGATTTAATATTTTAACCCTAGGCTTTTCAAACATGTATGTTCCCCTAGGAATTTAATTAGAATTTTAAAACTTTGTTTCCTATTTTTGTTGAATTTTGCAAGTTGCTTGTGTTTGTGTTGTTCTCTCTTGAGTGCCTTTGCTTGTTTGGCTTGGTTGGTGACTTTGGAGCTTGCTTGGTTTGGAATCCTTTTTGGGAGGTTTTCTAGACTTGGTGTAGCTGCTGTGGCTTGAAGATTGGGGCTTGGAGTTGAAGTTTCCTCTTCTTTTAGGAGTTGTTTTAGGAGCTTAGGAGATTAGGGTTTTAGGAAGAGCCATTACAACTAGTTTTGATTTCTTCATTAAACATAGAATGCATTGTGTGCTTCTATTCCATCCAATGACATGAAGTCCTCCTAGGGAAACTCCATCTCTCCTTTGGAGGGATGTGTGGTATGCCCATAGTTGAGTAGAACTTTGAGGATACCTTTCCATTTCAATGTTGGTACTTGATGATTCCCTTTGGTTTTCATTAAGTTTTCAACATTTCAACCTTGATCTTGATGATTAATCCTCTGCTTGGAGTGTTCTTTCTAGAGCTTGAAGATGAAGTTTTATGAAGCTTGAAGATAAGAGCTAGCTTGAAAATGAAGTCTTGCTGTCAACTTTGCTGTCTTTTCAACTGTGCTGTTTAAAGCTTGCTGTTGCTGTCTGCTGAGGACTGTTGTTGCTGCTTTCTCTGCTTCTTTTCTTTTGTCTGTTTGCTTATGTTGATTACCCTCAGGTTTGAGGTGGAGCTTGTCTCCTCTTGCATGTCGTTCTCTCCATTGCCTCTCTTATACTGTTGCATAGCATGCATTCTACTGTTTACTGTTTACTGCTTGCTTTCTTTTGCTGTTTCCCATAGGATCTCTGATTTCCTCTGTGCAAGAGGGAATTATGACAGATATTAGGTTTTGATCCATGCATGATAACTGTAGGTAGATTCCCCTTTCAACCATAGTTTTAGGGCGTCTCTCTTTTCTCATCTCAAAACAATTCAAAAACACAGTAATAAGGTTAATTGAAGTCGTGCGTTACGAGCCTTATGCTATCTGGGAAAAGGTTGGTGGAGGGTCTCTCTCCAGTAATCTGGATGTTAGTGTGGTACCCTTTGGGTGACATACGAAGCGTTCACTCCTGGGTCATAGTCTCTAGTGCGACTGAGATTGCAAACATCCTAAAAAACAGTTCTTTCGTAAAAGACTCAAACAAACATTCAAACTCTGTTTTTGTCCTCTTGGACCTTTAATCAGGAAAACCCTTTCTTAAGGAGATAAAAAACTGTCAGACAAACTTGTGTCTTCCGTAGCCCGAACTACGTTTGCTCTGATCTTTCATGCCGTATGAAAGTACGTAGGCACGAGACGCGACATCTCGGCGAGCAACCTTCCCCTCCTTTCCCGTAGGTAGGCGAACTACGTTGACTCTGATTTCTCGTTTCAGACGGGAATACGTAGGCATAAAGTGCGATACTTTGCCGAGTCATTTTCTTCTCTTTTTAACCCAGACCTGTAGAATAGATAGAATAACACACCCTTAGATAGAAAACAAGCGTGGATCCCGTCGAGTACGACGGACGTGAGGGGTGCTAATACCTTCCCCTTGCGTAACCGACTCCCGAATCCAGGATTTGGTTGCGATGACCATTCTTTTCCCTCTTTGCGTTAGGTTTACTCTGAGCGTTTCCTTTCCCTCTTGTGGGATAAATAACGCACGGTGGCGACTCTTCTGTCATAGCCGGCGCCGATTTTCGCAGTAGCGACAATATCTAATCAGGACTAGCAGGTGATCTTCTCTACTACTTTGTGTAGTTTATGGAAAAGTAGAAATAACCAAGTTTGGAACCAAGCTGTGGATTCTCAGGATACCATATGTAGTCGTGCTACGCATCTATTTCAAGGACGGAGAAATGACCAACATCTGAAGGTAATCAACATACACCGCTCTCAAGGTTTGTCTGATTCTAAATGGAGTAAACCATCAGTGGGATGCCTTAAGTGCAACATCCATGCTTCTTTTTCTAATAACAAGGTTGGTATAGGCATTTGCATCAGAAATGATACAGGTTCCTTTATTGCAGCCTGTACGTAATGGTTCTCTCCTATCACGGAGGTTGCGACGGGGGAGGCTCTATGATTGTTAGCCTCTATGAAGTGAGTGTATACTCTCGGTTATAATAACGTCGATTTTGAGATGGATGCAAAAATCACCGTGATAGTGTACATAGTCAACATCCTAATCACACAGACTTTGGCTTAATCACCTATGAAGCACGAACACCTATAGAAGTAGGCGTGTCGCGGTGTCCGACACTTGTATGACACCTGTAATACACGTGTCAGAAATGTCAAAAAAGTCAGACAAATGTCCACTAAAAATGATATTTTTCTTTAGACCAACACTCCTCAAATCAATGGTTGTCATTCGAATAACACTCATAACACATACGTCAGACAATTCAGATAAGTGTTTCAAACAAAAATTTGTTTTTTTCTTTGCTTCAACAAACTTTTATACATATTTTGGATAAATCTCACATAAATTTAAAATTGTTAAACACATATTTAAGCAATGTTATTAATAAAGAATTAAAAACATTAATTTTGATTAAAATATTTTTAAACTTTTTTTTATCATAAATGAAAAAATAAACTTCAAATACTCTTTTACACATATAGCGGTGTTGGTGTCCTATGTTTTAAAATTATTGGTGTTGAAGTGTTCGTGTCAGAGTGAGTGCTTCATAATCAATCACACCTAAATGTAACTTATTGTTAACTCACTTATTTTCATAATCTCAGTTGGTTAGAAAACAAACCAATAAAATTGTTTATACTTTAATATGAATGACTCTGGTTCAAGTTAGTTTTCACAATTTTACTGATATTTCTACATGTATTTAAAGACTTATTATTAATGAAATGATATAAGCTTTCTCTTTTATATATATATATATATATATATATATATATATATATATATATATATATATATATATATATATATATATATATATATATATATATATATATATATATATATGACAGTGATATGAGGCGGGTATAATGTACCGGATCCACATTTGTATACCCACTTTTTAATGAGTAAATATTCCAGTCAATTCTCGTAACAGTTTTTACCATTTGTTATATGTATACACTAAATCCGGATGCAATTGCCATCCCTATGTCGGATATGTCATTTTCCACCATCATATAAAATATAAAAATATAATTTTGTCACAATTATTCATTTATTTATTTAATCATTACCCTACTCACCCTCTCTCAAAACAAAGAAACTTTGATTCTTTTTATTGCATGCAATGAAGATTTTGGATTATGGGCATCCAGAATAATCCAAAGAAAACCCGCATCTTTTTTCATCCCCAAAATTTGTCAGAGAAGCTTCTTCCTTTCACTCTTCTCCTAGGTTTTTCTCTTTCTTCTTCTCTTCAATGATTATCAAACTTTCATGATTTTGTTTAATCTTTGTTTTGCTTCTGTTTTTCTCAATCTAGGTTTCTTTCTATTTTCATATTTTTAAAATTTAATTTGGGATTAGAATAATGATTATGTTTAATTATTGTGTTCGTTAATTAATCATAAGAAAATTTAATCACTTTTTCTTTGCTTAAGTATTTGAGGGTTTCTTTGGTGGATTGAATCAAATTCATGAACATGCTGTTGATCTCTTCATTCATTATGCTTTTTTGTTAATTAATTTTATTTTATTATAAATTTATGATTAATTAGGAAAGTTTGACCGGTTTTATGTTCAATTCAACTTTGTGGTATGCTTTGACTTTTATATCAATTTCTTTCTTGTTATGCATTTGGTTGAAATTGAAATGGTATAAATTATATATTGATGTTTCTAAGATTGTTGTTTTTGTTGGTTGAAATTGAATTAATGCTGATGAAATATTGAAATTGTTTTGCAGGGGTGTAGAAGGTGTTTGAAGTATAGGAAACTAGATTCTTCCGTGTCTTTGTGATTTGACGGGATTTGAGTTCATTGGTTTGATGAGTTGTTTATGTGATAGTCGAAAAAGAGAAGAAATGGTTGAATAGGTTTTGGTTATTGGTGTTGTGTTTGTTTGTTCATCACGTTAATTTCGATGTAAGTTGTAGAAGTTGTTTTGATTTGTTATCGATGGTTTAGTTGATTGATTTTGTTAGATAGTGGTTGAGTTTCGGTTTATCGACTTAATCTTGTAGTAGATTAGTTATTGCAAAATGGAGTCGAAACATGAAGCGTCGAGTGTGATTTTAAAATTGATGGGACTTGATAAAGTGGCTTCCCGATATGAACCTGTTAGAGATAGACCGAAAGTTTTATCGGAGGATTACTTGCAGAAAGTTTCTTCTATTGGTGTTAGAAGGAAGCGTTCCTTTCGTCAGTATGGTTCTTTAGAAATGAGTACTTATGAGAAGGACGGTTCTGATGATGTTTTGATGGTGGTTGAATCATTAGTAAGGAGTGATAAGAACCATAGCTCGTCGAAGGGAAATGGAAAAGAGAATTTCTCGTTGTTTCGAACTAAGGTAGAAGATGTGCCACAGGAAACAAGTGTGAAATCTGAGCAGGGAAATTTGCTGCATCTACAGAAAATGGATGATGGGTTGCGAAGTGTTGTGCATGGAAAAGATGGATTGTGTGAAACATTTCGGTTTTCGAAATTTCAATTGGATCGGAAGGATTTAACTTTTGACTCGAGATTTTCTGTTTCGAAAGAGAATCCTGAAAAGGAAAGAAATGGTAAGAGTAAAAGCAACATTAGATATAAGGTTGGGTTCGGTTATAGCTTTTCCAGAAAAGTTCCAACGACAAAACGTCTTGCTGATAATCGTGGAACTATGACTAAGGATGACTTGTTTCAGAAATATTGGGGTTTAAGTAAGAACGTGTCTGCAAATCGATCAACCGAGAAGTCGGAAGATATGAACATAAAGTTGAAGAAGAGATGTTATGGAAATGATTTGTTCGAAAAAGAACCAATGCTTTCTCAATTGTCAAGCCCTGATACTTCTCCTGCTTTCGTAGACGGTCAAATCTTGCAGCAGACATGTTTAATGAACGAAGATGCGAAGAACAACGAAGACAGTAACATGTCTGAGAAAATTGTCTTCTCTGTTGATTCATCGGTTGATTTCTTGGTATCTGATGTGAAGACTAAGGTTGTTGGTTACTCTGATAATAATCCAACCACAAAGCAATCTGAATCAACGGCATGTGTGATGATGCACGGAGATTGTGATTCTTTAAGTCACGCTTCAAAGCAACAGGTACAATTTTTCTTACTCGGAACTGTTTGGATCGTTCTTTTTTTCCATCAAGTTCATGTATCACTTAGGATTAGGTCTATGTTCACTCGCCGTGTGTGCTTGATTACTCATACTGTTGAATCATTATTCTTAAATTACAGGAAACGTTGGAATTTCAAGAAGATTCTGTGTATTCACTTGTCTCCGGGGCTGATGGAGATTCTGTCAGTAACTTCCACGAGGGATATGAACCTAGTCCAATTTCAGTTCTGGATTCCACATTTAGCGAAGACATTTCAGTTATATCTGAATGCGGTGCTGCTGGTGTATATGGTATGTAATAGTCACCATAAAGCAATTTGTGTGAAATTATAGTTTCATTTCTAGTATCTCAGTCCTTTCATTTTGGCATGAATTACCAACGTGTCAACGTTTCTTGATTTCTTCAGATTCCTCTGAAGTTGACGATGAAGAACTTGATTTGAATGTTTCAAGTGATGAAGATTGCGGGAAAGAGTGTATAGCCGATTTCGAAGAGAAGAGAGATATAGTAGGCTTTTCTAGAACAGAAGAAAGTAGAGACTTCTCCTATGTTGTTGAGGTCTTAACCGAAGCAGGTATATCTAATGCAAGCTTGTTCAGAGATTTTTCAACATGGCACTCTGCGGAATGTCCTATCAGCCCTTCCATCTTCGACACCCTAGAAAAGAAATTCGGCGAGCAACAACTTTGGAAAAGATCTGAAAGGCGGCTTCTTTTCGATCGTATTAATTTAGGTTTGTTAGATATTCTACACCCACATCTATACATTCCAATGTGGGAAACGCCTGTATCAAGAAGATTGAACACTGAATTAAGACCAGATATGATTGAGGATGAGATGTGGGAATTGCTTGTTTCGCAAGAAAAGAAAGCTGGTAAGGAGTCGATAGACAATATGCTTGGAGGGGAAATTCGGTGGATAGAATTAGGCGAAGATGTTGAAGGTTTTGTTAGAGAGGTAGTTAAGGTGTTAATAGAGGAGCTTGTAGATGATATAGTTAGGTTAGAGAATATTTGAAAACTCTAGCAAGTTTGAATTGGCGAGGTTGATTTTGAGTCGATTTTTTCGAATTGATTTTGAGAGGTTATAGAGTTTGCATTAGGATTTAGGTATTGGTTGATTATTGATTTTTATGGTACAATATTGTATTTGATTTGTATACAAAAAAAGAAAAAAGAAAGTGTTTGTGATTTGTATTTGGTGAGGATCTTCTTTTACACAATGATGACTGTGATTGATGATGAACAAAGGTCTGGTTTTGTAGGTAAATGCAGGTGCTCTGTGTGGCCTAGTTCTGAAGATGATATGGTAATAGTGAAACATGATATTCACTTCAACTTTTCCTATAGAAAATCCTATCAGATATGACATTTTGATGGACAAATATACACATGAAAATTGTGTTTTGTGAATGATTTAACAACTTGCAACACCTTATTATGTCAGTTAACTGTCTACTAAACATGATTATGTGTTTGAACTGTGCTAACCATTTAACTTATTATTGAAAAATATTAGCCTAATGTTAGATAATCCTTGCGTTTTAAATTTCAAGTCAAATCAGATTGTATCTTTGTTCCCAAGCAAATTAAATTAGATCATTAATGAAGAAGATACGAAATCTTCAAAATCATCATTATCTAATCGATTAGAGCATAAAAATAATCGATTAGATTGTTTTAGAAAAATTTGGTTATGATTTTTTCTGGGCCAAACTTCAAGGATTTTGTGGTGTCTTTGCACGCCTATATCGTCAGAAGGAATGCTATACATAACTTTTAATTTGAAAATTCCTCATCATGGAGACTATTTGTTGAAGGTTTAAGTTTAACCTCAAAAAATCAATAAAAGAATGTGATCTTCAACCATGAGGTGATACGACCTGTTATAATGGAGGAAAATTTCATAAATATCCTCAAGTCATATATGTTCACATCTGCCAAGGCTTATTAAGGAAATTCTTCACAAAAGTACTAGGTTGAGTGTTCTCAAATCTTATAAGAGATTTCTACTCCAATATAAAGTTTATGATCTATCCTTGAAGTCATTCGTAAATGGAGTAGAAATTGACATTCATTGAAATCAATTTGAAAGAATGTTTGAACTATCCTTCTATGGGATTGGCGTACAAAGTTCAAAAAATATAAACTTTTCATTGTCATCATCTCTTTTGTCATGAATCTCATGGAAGATAGGAAGCTTCCTATCAAACCAAGCTACTTGAAGGCTCGGGTGGCCCACTATCTGATCATAAGGATACTCTTTCTAAGGCAAGACAATCTTGAAGTGACAATCTTGAAGTAGTCACTAAGGAAGATGTGGTCCTCTTATGACTACTGACACATCAATTCAAACAAATTAGGTTGATGGAAGTAGAAATAGAGTGAAGATCGAAAGTTAGGGTGAATTTGAGCTTCTGGCAGAGAGGGGGGCTTGCAAGGTTATCACTCTGACACTCAAGTTAATATGTGAGGAAGAAGAGTGAGTTCAAATTGTGTTTGAAACTTGTTATCTGAATTTGGCGTCTTTTAGAGAGAGAAAATAACAAACTCGCTATTTGTTAGGAGGGAATTGCGGAGAGCTGTTGGATGCACTTGTAGTTGAGATATTTGTCATTATCACGAGGAAAATTCTAGTGTGATAAGAAGATTCTGAAAAGATTATTGTTCCCTGAGAGTGATCGGTCGGGGTCAATATGGCTAGCCCAGAACAAAGTTTTTGTTTCTCATTTGGTTATTCCTTTTTTAGTTACATTGTAACCAACATTCAAGAGTTAAAATCGATAATTTTTAGTAAATGAGGTGAAAAATAGAAATACTCTATGAAATTATGATCTCCCTCTAGAAAGATGTCAAACATAATGTGCCAGACAATATGTATGAGAAGACAGATGCAGTGACAATTAAAATGCATATAAAGTAAATTGAACACAACAAGTTGGTAACCCAATTCATTGCAATATCACCTACGTCTGGAGGGCGTTAATCCAAGACAGAAAATCCACTCTTAATAGTAAATATACAAATTGGTCTTAGATGCACTCTTCTAGTTCAATGCCTTTTTATTAATACTACCAATGAATTTCTATTTAGGACTTCCCCTAAATATAAGACTCCTTTCACTTTCTCTCAATAACTATTCCTAGTGTTGGAATTATGGAACTATTACAACTCAACAAACCAAACTTTATTCTTTCAAATAGGAATGATCAAACGAATATAGTTTCACAATATAAAACGCACGAAAAACACAAAGACTCAACAAACACAAATGCCTTGTAATATCTCTCAAGGCCCGCCGAGTCTTTTGTTATGGAGTAAGACTCCTTAAATATAAAAACAATCAGCTATAACTTTTAATTAGGGTTTGGAAAACTTGTGGCTGAATAAAAATCCCAGTAGCTCAATTTTAAGATGTGATTTAATTTTAATTGCAATGTATCTTAAACTAAATTTGATTTGGTCTTTATTTGTGATCTTTTCAAGAATTCTTTCATAATTCCAAAAAGCACATAAACACATAGACAAATGAGGAAACAAATTTGGCGCTTTATTCTGAAATGGTGCAGCAGCTTCTGGTGCACAATGTTCCACAATGTGTGAAACATCTTGCTCCATATCTTTGGGTCCTGTTTTGTGCGCATAAAGACCATATGTCTCAACATCCTTTCATAACATCTCGCATATCATGTTGTCTATAAAAATATGCTAATCACTTGTAAAAACAACGTCCTCATTTGACCAATTTTAAGGTAAATACAACATGCAAGATGTGCAACCAAAATACTCGAACAATCTTCATGACATATCATCAGAGTGAAGCGAAAAATATGATATAGTCAAACAAAAAACCTAGCATACTAGATTTACCAGAAAAATTATTGCATTCATATTTGATTATAAAATTTGTTTGATCTCCCCCTATTAGCCTCAGATTAGGAAAAGAGCCAAAAACATCAAATCAAAAGAACCAAAACGACCTAGGAGGTGCAAAAATCCTATGCACAATACTAAAAAAAAACTTGAACCAGCTCAGAGGGGAGAAGAAACCATTATTCTTCCCTGAGGGAGATTAAACAAACAGGAAAAAGACCGATGCTTGGGTACACAAGATCATTAACCAAACAAACTGAAAATTCTGGCAAGCATACGATGGATGTTATTACCAAAGTTATAACATTCACTGTGACATCTGCTACTTAACAGCTAATAATCAGTAATAATAAAAGCAGTAAATACACAACAATTGTTTACCCAGTTCAGTGTCAACAACACCTACATCTGGGGGCTACCAAGCCAGGGAGGAACTTCACTATTAGCAGAATTAATTCAGAGTCAAACAACACAATTTGCACTCCTCACTTAAAATTTACCCAATGACAATTCAGCCTAGAGACACTCTAGACCTGAGTATACCCACTCACTCCCCCTCAATCACCACAGTAATATACAATTCACAATTACAGACTAAATATGGAGACACTTCATACACACCTTGATCTTGCTTCACAGCTTTGATCAAGGAACTCACACACTCTTACTTCACAACTTTGATTAAGACACAGCCTAGAATCTACCTATCCAATGCAATTATCCACCAGACAATTGCTTGGAGTACAAGTATTCCTAGACAGAATTCACACTTGAAGACTAGCCTTCTTCACTTACAAAGACTCTGCAATCTGCACTCTATATTCTTCTGTCAAGAGCTGCTGTTCAGAATTGCATCTTCTGATCTTTATAGCAGCTCTCAGTCCTTTTGGGCCTTGGTGCATTAATTAGGTTTTGTCCATCACAAACCTAATTTCAATGATCTGCACACTTGCCACTTAATTCAGGTATCTTTTAGTTCGCCTAGGGCTTATAGAAAGTCTCCTGATATCCAGCTTGAGCTCCTATTCTGTTTCCTGGTTTATAGATACCAGAAAAACAAACTTGCCCGCTGGATGTCATACATTCAGTGTTATGACATTTTGTATGACATTCAACTTAACTTAGTTAACTTATAGTTAACTTACCCTGCACACACATCATTAAGTATGTCCTAGCATTCAGTATGACATACATGCATACTCTAAAGTTTTGCCACAAAATGCAGCCAATCAAGAGCACTTACAAACTCCCCCTTTGGAAATTTTTTGGCTAAAACAACCTGTTAACATATCAGAGTTTACACACAACTAAAGACTTATGATGTGTCCTGTCATGCAGGATAGTTGCTAGCTCAAGCCACTCTGAGTCCCAGTTATCTCTTACTGTTAGCTCACTCTGTTAACCATCTGGTAGTTACCACTACAAATGTCACATCTATTTGAGTAACACTCTGGTGTTCTCTCCCTCAACTGATCAGACTTTATCAGTTGAACACTTCACCTGCATACCTTGCAGACACAGATACAAGCATTCATCCTGTGGATGTCCAGGCATTCATAATGACCTTCTGCAGTCACACACACCTATGCCACTCCCCCTAAAGAGTTACACAAGACTCTCTGCTATTATCATGCAGACACACATCTTCATCCAGTCTGCTCTGGATGTTATGACCTTTAAGATAACATCCTGAAGTGCACAGCCAAGGTTAGCCCTCAGCACAGAGCTCCTAGTTCTAACATACACGCATTCCTATTCAAGCTAGAAATACATATCACATCATTGCTTACATCACTATCAGCTGTTATCACTCATATCATCAGCTGCACCTGTGGTTACACTTGCAAGCATGCAAGTCTGATATCATATGCGCAAAGGAACATATGTTCATCAAGCTATCCACCTACTGTCCTTTATTTCCTGCTGTATCTACTGTTGCCATCTTTCTCTCCCCTTTTTTAGCCATAAATTAAGATCTAACTAATGACTTAACATAGATCAAAAGTGTGACATAACAATTGTGAAGTGTACATTAAACTAACTGATCATGGAGAGCATCACAAAACCAGTGCAATTCTTGTTGTCAAATAGGTCTAACCAAAAGAACTCACACACAAAAAAACATCAACACAACAGTTCACAAAA